ATTGTTGTAATTGTGTTTTAGTTCTCTTAAAAGACTAATCTCTTATGGGAGACCTATACCTGCTAAATTAAAATTAAGAGACTATACTATATTTCAGGGTTTCCCAAGGTTTTTTGTTGCTCCTGCCTGTAGAATATTTTCATGTTCCCTTTGAATTTATTCATTACAAAGAAACATTTCAAAGAATTTTATTTTGATTTGATTTAAAGTTATAGTTGTGATATTTAATTTAAAACTTAAGTTGATATTTCTTCGCAAATTACTTTTCTCCATGGGGCTTCTCAATCAGTGGGCGCGTCCCACAGTTTATGCTATATTTTAACACCCTATTGTGAATAGAACGGCGGATTATCTATACATATAAATAAAATTGGCTGTCTGTTTGTAACATTGAAATAACTGTTTTTTACTACATGCAGTACGGTACATACACCAAAATAACATTGTTTACCATTTTTAGCTGTCTATTTTTTCAGACTAATTTCTGAAATGGCTGAACCGATTTTGACGGGACTTTTATTACTTAGGCTACCTTTATTTTAGAAAATTCAGTTATTTTAGAAAAATAAAGTTCAATTACACGCGGACGAAGTCGCGGGTGCTGCTAGTCATAGAATAAATGTGAAGCTCGTAAACCCCGTATGATTAGCTTATACCTGAGAACTATAGTGTTATTCCCGTACTTCCTTACTTAACATTTCTACTGCTGTATCACCGGAATGCAGCTCGTAAATGATCTAATGAGGAGCTGAGATTAAAGATGCCTCATATTAGCCATGCAGATGGATTTTTAATATTCATAGTCAGAAGTACATATTGCTTCTATAAGACAATATGTTTTATAAAAGTAGATTGCTTGTATTTTGAATTTTGGACTTACAGAAGATGAGTCAGTCAGTCAAGACTCATCGCTTTGTAATATCTATAGGTAGGCATAGATTAAATTTTGCACATTCAGATTCACAGCATATCTATGTATTTTTCTGTATATAACACTTATGCATAAGTGGATATAGGTATGTACTACATATTTTTTATTGGGCGGTTTGGGTTATTGTCACGTGCGTTGACTAGCACTGCAACCTACATAGATCTATTGTGCTAGCCCTTTTTTCAGAGTTCGCTGCCTAGACCCAACAGGGACAACAATTGAAGGATATTCTTAGGATTGATGGTTTTTATCTCCTCAGTATAGAGTGTAAACTTTCTAAAGGAGATATTTCGTTTATGCATGAGTGGGCTACAACCACATAAGATGTGCATTGGATTTTCCTTTTCGGCTTGGCCAATCTACAGATTTTTGTTGTGCACATGCATAAATTTGCCAAATATGTAGCCTGTACATATGTATGTACATATTACAAACACAGTACTAACATTTCGTAATATCCCGAGACATACAAAAATACCTTTCAAATTACTCTCCAATTCAATGACTATTATGGATGATTGTCACGCAATGAGGATGTGTTGTTCGGTTTCTGTCTATGGCCTATTGATAGGTAATTGACTGCAATTGATGTAGGTGGCCCGCAGTTTGAGATCTATTCGTGGAAAATAATTTAAGTACTATCGTACTTGTACAGCGGACAATCTTCACACTAAGTTATCTATATTATAACAAGAGATATACAACACTCCACCTGCTTAGAATATTCTTAAACCAATAGCAAGACCACAGATAATATAATATTACATAGCAAGACTATTAAAATTAATGATCATTTCACACTAATATTTTATAACTATGTACGAAATTTAGTGTTCACTTTAATCTAGAGCAACACTGTTCATGTACAATTCGCTGCAACGTACGCGTCGCACTCATTCTGAAGAATACTTCCAGATGTAGTTGAAACAATTGTAGCTAAAGACGAAAACATTGCAAGTTTATTAAATTCGCATACATACATACATACATAGTTATAAAGTAGCGATCATGTGGTAGATATTATAAAATCATATGATTGAAATATAAATTGTAGATTATCTTATGTTAGTTTTTATGCAATGTTCTATCTATAGAATATTTGATAAGGCAATTACTCTTTTTTATTTGTATAGGTACTATCTGATCCGGCAGAAGTCGTTCTGCGTGGAAAAACAGGTTTATAAGGCAATTTAGGTTTCTAAGTTAATCAGGAACATGTTTAAATATCCACACAAATTTCTATCAAATCGGTTCAGCTACGAGTTAATAATAAACAAACACATACGTACAGAAAAAAAATATATTTAAGATAATACGCTAAGCCAATAATTTGCGAACTATCAAACGAATAATACTAATAACAGAAAGGTTAATCATATATGATGTGTACTTTCATTTCGTTAAGCTACACATCGAGTCAATGTAGCGTAGAATTACGAGTTTCCTGTTCATTTTCCTTATTTACGCAGCGAGCATCCGTGGCTGAGCTTACACAAATAATATTTATGTGGTACGATTTTGTATTATTTGTTGTATTTAAATATGGGGTGCGGATGAATTGACCCGTAATTATATAAGGTAATGATTTTTTTATTAATTTTATTAGTTTCTCTATTGTATTTATTATCCCACTTTTTTATATTTTTTTTATGATAATATTAACTAGAACTTCAGCCGCGATTTGATATGGCCAAAGTTTTAATTGTTTGTCAATATGTTTGTAAATACGTATGAATGCAAATGTTTATATTAAGCGGTGAATCGAACCTGCGATCATCGGAAGTAAGACGGTAGCAATGCCAAGACTTCCGAGGCCGTCATATGAGTACTGTCTATTTATGTATTCATGATTCATAGTATAATTAGACGTACTGACAGCAGTATATGGTGTACGTGGTGATGAAGTCAACACTGCCCCATATTCGAACTCACGACAATTGCGGTACCAATCAGGGTAACGACTTTCTTGGTAACATATTAACTCTTTATTCTATATAGAAAGGTTACCCTTACAGAACAAGACATGTAAATTTTTGCGATCTGTAGGTATTGGAGAGCAAAAATTTCTGGTAAGTGGACACCTTTCTAGTAATATATTATGTCTGATGACTCTTCACGCTGTTCTCCCTAAAAATCATATGGTATCTCATTATGATGAATTGATTGACTTCAACAAACACTAACCTGACTGACTTCACCCTCATACTATAGTTTACTAATGGTACCTCACTAGCAAATACCATTAGCGCAAACGGAAGCACCAATCAAATTCTGTCGATTGATCAGATCTTGTATTATTTAAAATACAAGATCTGACCAATCGACTATTTAAAATGACGATACGGTCTAATATTTTCTTATATACTTTTCTTCATGAAATGAAACGTTATTCGTTGATGTAGTTCATTGCTTGTTATTTGTGTAATTAATTCTCATACATATTTGTGAAGTACAGGAAGGCTGAAGATGGAGAACATCCTATAACAGTTACATATATAGAAGTACTACCTACCTCAAATATTGAGAGAAAAGGTAATTGTTCAGTGGATGAGATAAAATTATCTATGTAGCAAAACTAAATAATATTCAGCTGATAGTGTTTTTTTTATTTCTGTAGCAACCCGTAGAAATGGATTCCGAATAGGAGAGCTATACCCAACTTTGATTATGTTATGGTTTATAGCTGTTCTATGTAGGTAGAGGTAGCAGGTATCTACTTGCATGGGCCATACTCTCACGGCTTATATTTTGTTTTCAGAAGTAATTATACTTACATAATCATTATATGCTCATGTACAGCAAAGGAATTTAGGTAAAATTATCATTGTTTAGAATTTCCACGCACTATTAACTTTGATTACCACATTGACAACAATTTGTTGTTTAGCACTAGATAAGCAAGCACATTATTGCCTTCAATCTGATTTTGAGAATAACTGCTCCAAAACTTAATTAACTATATAATAGAAATGAATACCTATACTAAATCCTAATAGAAATGACAGTTGGAGTAAAAAAGTTAATTTTATGAGATCCTTTATGCGATTTTGTTTTACTTACGTATGATATATGTTTTAAAAGGGTTTCTATACATACAATAACATACAACAAATCAGCAATACAATATTATTAGTTTCAGAAATATTTGCGATGCTTAATCATTACAAGTATTCATACATAGTTGATAATTTTAATGACATGTCATATTGACTTCATATAATCCAAGTATAGAGATAATTAAATTACTTCATTATATACAAATGAAAACAATTTTAGTATAGTTAAAGTAAAAAAAAACAGCAAGAAAAATACACTTACGAATTACGAATAACTTTCAAATTCGAGTAGGTTTAACAATTTGAGATAATTTGAATGTTAACTTTGTGTTATCTGTTTAATTTTATTTAATTGTTCTGAAAATGTTTTATTTATATTCGCAGCATAATTATAGAAATATCCAAGTTACATATAACATTACAACACTTCAAAATATATATATAGCAGGTTTATAAACCATTCGGTAACTACATATTTTGAACCAAGATAGTCGAAAGAAACTTCAAAATGTTGACAATACCTAGAAAAGATGCATTTTTTAATTTATGCATTAATATTTGACTAGTAACAGAGATAAAATAGGTACGTACTATCTCAAGTAACTTATATCTACCTAATACAAATAAATAAGTCTTATACTAAGTTAATACATAGTTATCTAACCATTGACGTATGTTTATTAGAACACAGTTTTACATTAGTTTTATTAAAAAGAGAGGAGATTTAAGAAATTTTTTTTGTTACATTTTCACATCCAATTTTCAAATCTTATATGATCGATGTACATTTCAGAAATGTAACATTTACAAATCACAATATTCCTGTAAAGCTAATATGATATCTGGCAATGTTACATGGTCGTACATCAAATTGAAATTTGGATGTTCACTACGTATTTTCACTTGGGGTGGCCTAATAGAATGTTTCTTGTCGGTGGACAAACTAATTTCTGTATTGAAATTACCGCCCATTGGCGTATAAGTGAGTGTAACACGTCGATTTAAGTCGGTAGGATGTTCAGATGGTATTCTAACATATGGGGAGTGGATTAAATTTGGCAAGGTATATGCTCTATGCTGTACGAAGGGAGGGTTGGCTAGTCTACCGTCCGAGGCCGGTCCACAGCAAGCCAGGGTCGTGGTGGTTTGCTCCCGGGTACCCGCCGTCCGCCTCCACGAACGATCTGCGGTTGTAAGATCTACGTACAACAATATTTTAGACAATATCTATATGAATAAATGGTATTAAGTTATAAAGGATTTGGTAAAATATCTTGGTAATGGAACACTGGTTTTTGTATTAATATATATATACCTATTACATTCATAGCAGCAATATTCATATAATAAATATGTATGTAGCATTATTGACTCAATAACTTACTACATATATTGTGATATTAGTAATATTACTGTGTAGTAATAAAAATATAATAGGTTAATATACACAAGTCAATAGGTACCCTATATGAAATGATTCACTGATGAAAATGATGCACAAACAAAAACAATAATTCTATTATATTTTTTTTATTTGGATTAAATATAAATATCAACTTAGAATGCGTACCTGAAGATATTTATTGATTAAGTTAACCTTATCACATGACACAGTTTGAATCCGCAAAGTCGTCTCATTAAATTAACATGCAATATTTATAATACAGAATTATTAAAAAAGGGAAAAATAACTTCATCTAATTAATCATGTATATAATTTCATTTCATACAGTATTTTAGTTTTAATTAACCTTCATTAAATGAAAAATGTTATAGTACATCTATTTATAATCTGATTTGCGCTAGCATATTACCCAGATGGATATTTGGCTGAATTTATTATATGTATAAGTGCTCCTGACTAATGTACAAGTATCTATGTTCTTTATCTTATTAATCTGAGTAGAGTATATCGTTGTTACATAAATGAACAAGTTCAAATAAATGAAATCTGTATTAGCTCACGTCTGAATTTTACGGGAATATTAAAGAGATCTCAAATATTATAGTATTGTACAATGAACCCACAGAACTTGCTTGTGCGATGTGTTTAATATCTTAAAATTGAAATACAAGACATATAGAGTAATTCGGCCCTGATGTATAGTTCTTACATTGCAGAGGGCAATGAATTGGTTTCCTATTTATTTTGTATTATCTTAATATATATAGAGATAGTTTTTATGTCTATATTCCGAGATTTACTATTATTTTATGTGCATTTCAGTGCAGATTTTAGTCAGCTCAATTTTTAATAGGCAATAGTCATATGTGGCGAAATGGGTTAAAGGCGACTCGTATTTATTGATAAACTTTATAATGTGTCTCTATCTACTTCTATTGCTGTTATAGGTGATATTATAGCTGACAACAACAAATTTTATATACAAGATAGTTAACAACCCCTTTCAGATCATTCAATTTTATGTTTTGAAACTCTGGTATTGAATAAAAAATCCCCCTAAAAAAAGTCCGTGTTAGTTGTCGTAACAGACCACTTTGTAACGAAACCATTTCCTATTTGGTATTTTTATTTTCTTTAGTTGAACTTCATTTCCCCAACTCCAAATTTTTCCCTCCCATCAGTCCCTACAATATTTGTTTCTGTCGAATTTCCCCGTACGCCACAAAATCCTACAAAGTTTAGGGTGAAATGTCTACTAAGACTACGCGGTGTCTAGTAGTTAGTGTTGTAAAATATTGATGTCATGTCAGCCCACCTGATATTTCCAGTAGGACGCAGTGGTCGTAGAGCATGCAGCCTCCTCATACCAGTGCCACCTCCACCACCACCTGGGAATAAAAAAATTGGTTACTTTCCATAATTTTTTTTCTTTATGTTATGGACAAACAAGCTGACGTATCTGATGGTAAACGGTAACCATAGCCTATTTCATGCAGAGCACTACGGATATCACGTTATGTGACAACCGCAATTGTATCGCGTCTAAGCGTCGCCAGTCCAGACGACTAAGATCTCATGCCTCTAAACGTGTAATTTCATATATAGTTACTACACTTATATATTATCTGTATTCTAATTGCCTGTAACTACATTTATCTCAACAATATTGGAATTCAAAACTACTGGATTAATTGGAATGAAATTTTGTACATTGGTATACATATAATACCGTAATAAAATAACATGCAGTTTATCTTTAATTAAATGCAATGAGTATGCCTGCTCTAATCAACCAATCAACATTATAAGTATACATATATGATCTTGAGCATAATTTGAGATTTAAAATTAAAATCTTGTTACTAGGTCGAAATAATGAAATATCAGAATATTATTTGAAAATTCGGACACTCTAATCGTCATTATTCATATGAGATGAATACAATATCTGTCTATCTGTCTATGATAATATAACAAAGAAAGGACTGCTTGGACCAGCCATATTTAAGTACTTATATATATAAAGGTGGCACCATTAAAAATTTTATCCAATTTGTCAAGATTTTAAGAACACAATTTATATTTTAAAATATGAAAACAGCTCAGCATAATATAATCCTTATTGCAAAAACATCTAATCTGTTTATAATTGAGGCAAAAGTACACGGAACGCAGTCAAGTGATGATGATAAAATTTAAATTAAAACGGAACCGTCTCTTAGAATTAAATTTTCCCGCTTCCTTCTGAACGTGTAGGAAGGTCTTAAATGGACCTAATTGGTACGCACGCATCGTACAGTTCAATGATAGCATTAAAGGTCACTTACATCATATTACTGTCGGATGGCCCGACCCTTTGTGGAGGATTGTCAAGTTCTATCAAGATTTTATGCGATTTGATTTGATGAGCCGATTCGGACATAATTTTATTGGGTCAGACAACTTCGTGGCATTTTGTTAGTCATTGCTTTTTGTTACAAATATTTTAAAGACTTCTTATTTACTTTAGTATTTTAATTCCTTAACCTTTTTGAACATCTTATAGTCTTCTTTGTAATTTCTATTTACGAATAAATAGTACTCATACCTATTGTTTTAGATTGACCTATTTATGACTGAGTGGGTGAAAATCGGCAGGCTTATACCCGTAATTTTATTATTTTCTAAATTGTGAGACTATAAATTAATAAATATAATTTAAGATCAGATAAAGACAAAAAGTTATATTGTGAAAGTTGTCGTTTCTAGTACCCCCGAGGAATACATATTTATTAAAGCTGCATTTAATGATCGCATAAATTATAGCATCTATTTTTAATAGAAAGTGTTAATTTTTGTCTTCATTATATTAGTTTACCTGGTTAATAGTTATTTATGGTTTGCATATAAAGCTAAGACTATGTCATTAATTTTTACTCATACCACAGATAACATAATATTACATACTAATACTAAAAGTACCTACATACTGTAACACTGTCATAATCTCCTTATAATATGGAAATATAATTACACAAAAAATGTAAAGCAGTATGCATTACATTTTATGCATTAAAATTACTGTGATTTAACATTGAACATTGAAAATTGTCGTAATCATCACGCTTCATGTGCAATAAATACAATTGGCTCGGTAATTACGATTTGCTACGTTTAAAAATACGTTAACAAACATTTTACACAATTTAATGACCGAACTCTAGACTCGAAGATTGCGGGGCTAAATTATAATTGTATGTTTAGTACCTATTTATATATGTGTATGTATATCTTCATATATACTAAAAATTAAAAAGAAAGATATAAGTATTGAGTAAATGGCGTATAATCGTGGAGCCAGATCTACTGAACTAAATTTATAAGCCTACCTTATTATAGTAAGTAGGTATCTTTTTTTTACAGGATATCTAATAAAATTTAATAATTCTTTAAAATACGTAGAGAGCGATAAATTGCAAATATGGGAGTCAGTTAATGTATATATATTTTTTTAAAATAATTTAGTTGAGTAAATACACTTACAGATTTAGAATTCTAGATACTTATGTTAAAATATTATAGAAAAGCAACGAATAATCTTAATAAAAGCTTTATTCTTCAGCCTCGGTGGTTTTAGCACACTGCTTTACTTTTAATGGTCCCAGGTTCGAATTCTCGTCTAGTATAAACATTTGTAATCATAAGTATGATTGTTTCTATCGGTTTGGGTGGTCTCTACGTATATTATGCATGTAATAAAAAAATGTATTAATGCATTTATATCAGTTGTTTAGTGGGTACAAGAAAACACAAGCTCCGCTTTTCTTGGGATGGCATTATGTTAATTATCCGTTGTATACTTTCACCTAAAACAGTTCATGTGCAGATAGAATGCACTTGTATTTATATTATTGATTACAAACAAACGGTAGATACCCAACAACAACAACAAATAACCAATACTGAACACAAAGTATACAATTGCATTTTTAACTTTAGTAACTCCATAGCCTATAACTGCATCTGTTCGTCCCACGTTCAATAACAAAGTTTAATTAGTTATTTGTCTGTTTGTCACAATCGCCAGGGACGGGAGTTGTGAACACTGGTACAGTATATTACAATGCATTAAAAAGTAACCGTATTAGTTCACAATCTATAGGGATTTCATTATGGCGTCACACAAGTTGTTCTAACAACATGAACGCATTAGGAAAGTTTGTAATGACTAGACAATAAGTCGAGAGTAGAACATCTCAATGGGGATATGTGATGGGCAGATCGAGTCCTCCATAGGTATTCTATTTTTGTTTTGAATGTGTCGACGCGTAGGTACTAAGACTTAAATCTAATTATGAAACGAAAATTGTAATATTATAAGATTAATTTGTTTAAAATGTTTATTTTTATTTACGAAGATAGCAGGTTTTTATACACAATATAAATTTTAAAATGTCCTTTTTGTGTTCCTGCAAATCTTTCTTTCTTTTTTATTTTCTTGGCAGGATACATAATTTTTCGATTTATCAATATTACCTCTGTAATTACTATAATGTTTAAAATTATTTAAATATTCTATAATAGTTAAAAGCTACATCGAATATGAAGTGAAAAAAGCAAAACATTGGTATGCATTATTGTCCGAAATACCGCTATCCGTGTACATACGTTTGCAATAACAATGAAAATTAAATAAATTCCGTAACCAACTGAAATGTTAGTGGAATTTAATTAGCTTCTATAAATACGATAGGTATCATTGATCTGTGGTTAATCGTTATGCGGTTTAGCCTGAAATAGTTTAATATTTTGAATGATTGGTTTTAACATGTAAAACACAACTTTTGATAATATCAGCATCGATTAAAACCCTCTCAATTTATATGACGTAGGTATCATTTTGTGTGAGTGGAACAAGTTTAAATCTATCCTAATATTATAAAGCTGTTTATTTCTTTTGTTGTTGTTTTACTGTTACATAGCCCAATAGTCAAGGAACATAGTATATAACATCACGCTACGACTAATTTTGACAGCCATGAGAATATTTATTTTACTTTTATTTTTTTCTATGTTACCTCAATGGTAAAATTGTCATCTATATACAATACATAACCTAATCTTTTTAATAATTATAATCATTATGTACCTACCATATGTAAATAGGTATATAGGATATAGCATCACAGATTAAACTTTGTTAAATATTTTAGTTTATATATAAAATCATAGAAAAAGAGTTATATCACTAATATGTTCCCCAATGATAAAATGTAGCAACATACACGTATATACAATGTGTTAAACAGGCAGCGTCCTACAGCGAGTGAATGCAAAAGTTTTGTAATACAAGTGTCATTCTCTCATTGCGTTTTATCTGAGACTAGTTAGTGAGTTACCTATTACTTTAAATGTCACATTTTGCAGTGTATGCCGTAACGAAAGAATACACACTATAACTGAATTTATTAAATAATTATCATATTAGACACTAATATTTAAGTAAATAAGTAAGTAGTGAAATATGTTTTTAAGAAGATACCAGGCATTAGAACTTAAGGTGAATATCGTACCAGTTCAATAGAAGGATCATTCGAAATAAAATCCTATACAAAACGACGTAGTGATTTAGCTACTAAATTTAAATATACCACCAATATTTAAATTTAGCCAGAGGCATTATCACCTGTCGGTATACTGGTGAAAACAGCACCTGAGATGCCCACATTTGGGTGGGTATTTTTTAATTTAATGTGATAGGGTGTTCTCTAAACTACCACCATCTCTTGAATATTAGTCATCGATGTTTCCTACACCCTAATCTTAAAACTTCACTTTAATTTTACTGATGATGGTTTATTTTTAGTATCAAATTATGTTTTGTATGCAGAGTATTGTGTTAATAATAAACTAAAATCTTATGGGAATAAATACTCCATGAATAATAATGGAAAAATTAATTTCCAATTTTATAAGGCAATATCAGAAATGAATAAATTGTATTTAAAAAAAAACTATATGCCACAGCAAAATGAGGCGTTTGTCATTTATTGAACTGAATGAAAGACTAGAGACTTCTTTGTGTTGAGCAAATATCAAGACAGAGGCTTCCGCCCTGCTCATAGTGATAGTTGTGGGTTGAAGTTAGAAAAAAGGAAGCTATACCTACTGCTTCTCTTTGAAACTCTTTAAATCAGTTAAGACCATTTGTAGACCTTTTTACACCTTTTAGTGTACAAATTACTAATTAGTACTAAAATACGGCTATTCTAAATAATGTATGTTGCTATGTAGGAGTGAGCAGTGACCCGTACAATACTCTCATCAGGTACCTAATCACTGGAACTGCTAAACATCAACTTCAAAAGTAGGTACCATTAATACTTCATACGATACTACCGATCCACCCCGGCTTTGCGTAGTTGCAATCAATGCTACGTATCTTTCTTTCATGAAAGTAATTTTAACATCGGTTCATTATTATTTGATTTTATTAATTTCAAACAAAAAATATCTTTTCAATTTAGGTATATAAATACATTAAACAAGGTTCTATTGTTAAAATCATAGGTTGCTGAATGTTTCTAATTGATGATGATGATTCGGCACATATATAGGTAATAGAATTAATATACAATATTAAAATAGAAATTCTGTTATTTCCCGCACTCAAACTATTAGATGTTTCCTTAGAAATAAATAAATATATGTAAGTAAAGAAGTAGGTACATTACCAGCAGATGGTGCCTGGACCACAGTCGGAGGATCTTGGAACAGCGTAGACCGTTGCTGCGGTGAAAGCGAGGCGAGCGTCTCCAAATTGTCACGTAGAGAGTCGAAGAAGGAGCCTACGTCGTTAAGGACACCTGCAGATTGCACTAATATGAAAACTACTGGCGTGTATAATAAGCTTAGTTAAAAAAATATTCCTATTTTCAGATACTTTCGCATTTTTTATACTATTCATATTTTTTTATAAATTCTCATACCTATTTATATTATTTATATTTTTCTAATTACATTATAATTTTTTAGTATTTATAAATATTTGGTGCTCTAATCTGTAACCCCAATTACAATAACACCAGTTCCTTTAAAATTTACTTATTTTCTATTGTTATAATACAGTTTTTAATTCACTCTCGCGGTCATAGTTAAAAATCAGTGTTTTGTTCATTGAATGTTTCTCTACACCTAGTTCTTTTGTATTATTACGGTGCACACATATGCAGATTTACTCATATTCAATTGTATGGTATTTATATGTGTGTACTAAGATACAAATAAAAAATATTATCTAAGTATTATGGGTATTGTCGTAGGGCGGTAGATAGAGTGTCGACTTAGAAATGAAATTGTGAAAACTCAATAAGTAGGCAGAGAATTTGAGAACTTCATTAGTTGAATATTTATACGTTTGTAAAATCCGAACGGATCAGTTGTAAAAGGAATACAAATCCACATAATTTCGCATAAATTTGTCATTATTAATGGATATTAATTCGCTATTAGTACATTACTTTGAATAAATATTGTATTCAGGTTTAATTAAACTTAGATGTGTCTAAAAATTCAGAGGACATGTCAAAAAAGTACTGTTGAATATTAAAATACCAATTACATTCATTCCCTACGCCTGTGTGGGTAGTCGCCGCCCGCGGATGCTTCATTCCTATTCATATTATCATTAATTGATCGACTGTATTCTAAATTCAAATAAAAACGCACTTTCTTTTTACAATTGGTACAAAATGTATTTTTATTACGCGCTGATTTTAATATTTTATACGCATACTTACCTACCACCTATTCTGTGTTCTACAAAGTGTGAAAATGTTTTGATTCAAATGTATGAATACAGATTTCTATTAAAATAATTTTCAAGTATTTTATGATTGAATGTATCTTCTTAAATTTATTGTAGCAGTTTAAAAATCTTAACCTTTCCATGATGGGATTTTAAGTTTTGTATTATTTCTGCCTTTATGTGAAAAAGCCAGCATAATCACTGACAGAACACGAAAGGTTTTTCTTCAAACAATTAAAAATATGTTGATTTCATATAATTTCGAAATTTGTACATTAAGCATATTGTATAGTATATGCAACATAACATGTTATTAATTCCTGCAACTTTTAAGCTTCTCTATGCGACTTTTTGGATGTTTAACAGGGATTAAAATTGGTTTGTGTGCTCCTCTATCCCAAATACTACTTATACGCTAAATGTCATGATTAATGATTAAGGCGTGAAAGTGTAACAAACAAACAAACTTTTGTATTTATATTGTTAGAGTTGTTAGTCAGACAAATATTATGTGGTCCTCAGTTAGATATCTACACTAATAAGTATTTATTCTCGTGAAAACAAGCAAAAACCTTATAAGATGATGGTAAACAAGACTGTAAATATAACTCTATGGATTCATATAAGCCATTTACAGACTACTGGAAATGGCCTAAATGAGAATCTGAATAACTTGCCAAATTCCTACTTCCTTTTTATGATCATATAAAAACATATTAGTATTACTTCATTTACATATACTCATGAGTTATAATTCTACATTATGTTAGGGGTATTTTTTTTTCAATGGGTGACAATGGCATGTTTCACCCACCTGTTCTAATGGTATTCCCTGGAGGGTCACCATTAAAGAATGAAAGGATGAGAATGAAGTTAGATCACTTATAGCCCATCGTGATGAATGCACTAGGGATTAACCACGATGGTTTGTAGGAGGAGCTTTTCATCATGGTCCAGCTTGGTAGGTTTCGTCAGTCTCTTTGCTGTACCAATTACATAATACAAGATATTTCGATGGAAATAAACATTGTATTTATTATAAACAATTTTTAGTTTTAAAAACAAGATTCACTAATTCCGCCTAAATAGATTAGAAGGCTTAATTGTAATCTGCAAATAACGACTCTACTTTTGTGTATCGTTTTCTAAATTTAGAAATATTAAAAAAAACGAACACAAATAATATGTTTTCATAATTAGAGTTATGTCAATTTCTAACTAGATTTTTTGAAAGCTTTCGATATTTGAAATTCATACTTACATATCCATATTAATATTATAAATGCGTAAGTGCCTTTGCCTGTTTGTTTGTTATCTCTTTATGGCAAATTTCTGAAAGGATCTTAATAAAATTTGTCATGAAGATAGACTGTACCACAAGGACGGACATAGGCTGTCTTTCATCTCAAAGAAGCAGATAAAGTAGCAGAAAAGTGTCATTACTTCATAATAATATCTAGATTAGATGATTTTGACTTTTTCACGCTTAAATGGCTGTATAGAATCTATTAAAATTTAGTACAAAGATAGATCTTATATGGATTAAAATTTTTAATACTCGTTATAATACTGTCGAATTCGTGCTACTAATACTGCGAAGTTGTTAATAGGTCTGGAATCCAAGTTGACCAGGCGACAGTGACGTAAATAGATTAGGCATCATTACTGGGAGGGATAGTACAAGTATATACACACAAATCTTTAGTGTGGGCAGACTGACAACTCGTGGTTAGCAATAAAACGAGGAAGTACGCTAATCTACCACTGTATACACTTACAGCACTAAAACAGAGCGTTCCTTGCATTTGTAGAATACCAACCTGCGATTTCCGTGTATTACGTAATATATTTATTTGCTTATTGTTACCCGTGACTTCGTAATTATGTCTGTCTGTTATCTTTTAACTACTAAACGACTAAACACATCCTAATGGAATTTGGGCATGATGATAGATTGTAATAAGAGGACGGATACAGCCTATCTTTTAATATAAATAAATAACCCGGAAGGGGTAGTAAATATGGCATGAAAGTATAGACGTAGTCGGGTAGAAGGCAGTAAGGAGAAAGAGGTGGGAATAGTGTTGATGTGTAAAGTGTTTGCCTCGGCGTTGCTTACCGACGCCGACATACGGCGTGACTGCCTTACCGAGCGCCGGCGTAGGCTGGCGTCTCCGGCGGCCCGAGTTCAGCGCAGTCGCTACCGCAGACCTTTTCTCGGACCCCATTCGCCTGAGAATAATTATTTGTTATTAGATTAACTAATAAGTTGACGGAACACCTGATTATTGATGGCCTATACAAATAAATTACTATGACCATTACGTCCACCTCTCATACATGCGCCTGGTAATCTCACTACCATCTCACATTTTAAACGAAATATTAAAGAAATGGCAAGTTGATATGACGATAATAAAAAAAAAAAAAAAAAATTACCAATATTATAAACGCGAAAATTTATCAAATATTACTTAATATGTAAGTATAGGTAGAGAGAAGTACCTAAGTAGTACACCAAATATTTTATAAAGGAAGTTTTTTTCGGACTATTCTAATGCTGTTGGCCGCAGCTGGCCTTTACAGCCTCACCGGACGATAGAGGGCGAGTGCGAATGGCACTCCAAACCCGCGGAAGGACTTATGGAGCGGCTAAAGGCCAACTCCCGCCTGACGGATACAACTTTAGTCTGAGGGCACCACTAGGGATTCGAACCTCGGCTCAGGCTGTCGTAATATCGATCCCCGTTTGAATTGGATCTATCGGAGGGGATAAAGTAAGTAGTAGTATCGAATTGAATTGGCAAAAAATGAATGATACAATACCTGATGAACTTATACAATAGGCCATTACGGTCTTGGAAATGTTTGTTAATTTTTACTTACTAATTTCTAAAAAAACCTTTAACATGTGTCTTCTGTTTAATAAAATGTTGCATTAGTGATGCATGAATGTTGTAACTAAATATTATAAACGCGAAAGTTTGTGAGTATGGCTGGATGTTTGCTACTCTTTCACGCAAAAACTACTAACGGATTTTCATGAAACTTTAAAATAATACAGTCTATACATTAGAATAACACGTAGGCTATAATTTAAAAAGATATTATATAAAATGGGCGTGTAATATAATGATAAATTTCAAGTAAGTGTGATGCAGACGAAGTTGCGCGGGTTAGTTAGTGTCAAATATAATTAAATATTACTTAATATATATATACATAAGTATAGGTAGAGCTGTTCCGATACGAGTAAATACGAAGTAAGTAGTAAGTATTCGACACCAAATATTTTTTAAAGTAAGTATCGAATCGAATTGTCACAACAATGTAGGAAAATATAGCTGATGACTTTAAAGAAAAGGTTATTAACGTCCTGGTAATGTCTGTTAATTTTTACTTCCTAATTTCAAATTTTTTTAAACCTGACCAATAACATGTATTTTTGTTTAATAAAATGTTGTATTCGTGATGCATTAATGTTGTAACTAAATATTATAAAAAAAATATAACACTAACCTTATATCGTCGTCGACATAATTTTTCAAATAATCTTTGTTTTCATAGTTTCTAAGAGCTTGTGAGTGTGGTTCCAGGTTGGCAGCACCGATGTCGAGTTCAATACGAGGAGCACGGTCCCAGCGGTTATGGGGCCCCAGTCCGATGAATGGCTTATCAGCCAGGAGCCGCAGGAGATCCAGACTTTCACTTCTATAGTCTCGCTGAGCCGTCACGACTGTTGTACCTTAATAATAATAATAATAATCATCATCTCAGGACAATTCACACAGCACCATCTAGACCCAAGTTAAGCTACCAAAATCTTGTGTTAGGGGTACTAAATAACTGATACAAATACTTAGATAGGTTTTTTCATAAATACATACATATTATACATAGAAAATACCCAGACTGATACAAACAACCATATTCATGAATACAAATGTTCGTACCGTGCGAGGAATCGAACCCGCGACTGTCGGAAGTGTGCTAAATCGCTAGACCACTGAGGCAGTGTGGTATAAAATGTATTTTTTTTTTATTAAAATCATTTATAAATATACCTATTGCTTTTCTCTATCTAAGTAAGAAAAATGCAAACTCTATGCTTCCTTTTATGATAAACGTCAGATACGTAACGTCTAGTTTATATCATAGGAGATATGTAGGAACCGTTTATTCTTTGAATATATACACATTATTTTTTTATGATGTTCTGTCTGTAATGTCTAATATAATCAAATATTACTCAATATAAATCTTGTCCTTACCTACTCTAATATTATAAATGTGGAAATAGGGATGTTTGTTACGCTTTTACGCAGAAACTACTGAACCGATCATCATGAAATTTTATACACATGTTCTTGGAGGTATTGGAATAAACATAGGATACCTACTTTTTATTAAAAAAAACATGCAAACGAAGTCGCGGGTATAAACTAGTAATATTATAAACTCGAAAGTTTGTGAGTATAGATGGATGTATTTTATTCTTTCACGCAAAAGCTATTGAACGGATTTTGATGAAAAATTACAGTAATATAGTTTATACAACAAAATAATATATAGGCTAAAAATTTCACGCCGGAAAAACCGCGGGCATTGGTAGTATGTTAATAAATAGAATAATGGTTTTATTAGTATATTTTTTTTCAGGTATTGTTACAAATACAGTAGTGTTATTTCTTTATGAATGACATTGGATAATATGTCAAGTAGATATATAAAATCAAATTTAATTTAATCAATATATGTGTGCTTACCTACGTATTTCAAGAATTAATTAAATAAAGCTAGCTGATATAAATTTTATAATATACTTTACATAGATATCTATTAAATTTCTTGTACCTACATATTTTTGACAAGTACTCGTAAGTCACAAGGGTTTTAACAAATTTTTATGGTCAAATGTTTATCATTCATATACTCTGTAATATCCTATTTCAACAAGAGCTATCTTTACATTCTGTTACTTAATTAAAATCAAAATGGCGGAAATTACACGGCTACACTTGTGACTCCCAACAATAATAAGAGAAAATTGTAACATTTCATAATTGTTATTTGCTCGTTATATTAATGACACATTTTGGTAATATCTAAATTGTTATAAAGTGGCAAAGCGTGTTTCCCACAAATAAAGAGTACAGACCTCCATTTATAAAAGCATTAGAATTCATATCTGTATTCCCTGATGTGTAGACAGTGTGCTACATATTATATGTACATATATATGGCAAGGCAAAGTAAGTATTTGTCATCTTTACATTCAACAAAATTATAACCAACCGAATTACTAGCTGACCCGGCAAACATAGTTTAGCTTCTAGGCTCCATGTGTCCAACGTTTAAAATTCCAATTATATAGGTTAAATATATAGGTATGATAATTTTCTCTACCTATTTCAGCATCCAAACAGCTTTCTTTGCAAGCAGTGTTTTAGTTAAAGGGTGAAATGAGGGAGTGAAGTTACAGTATAAGAAACATAACATTTTAGTCATTAGGAATGACAACGTATGAGTCGAGTCATGGGCATCATTAGACAATGTGATGTTGTAGTGCTATTTATATTTAGGCAACGATTATTACTTACAATCAGGCTATCAGCTTTTTTGCTATTCTAATTGCATAAAAAACATAATTGCAAGTTTAATTTAATTATTAGTCCTGTAATTGACTGTATAATTGAAGAACAAAGATTGGATCTTGTTTGTAATGAGAATTTATATCAACTAGGTTATGTAAATTACCACGAAATGAAATAAATAAATAAGCGGTAACATGGTACCTACGTCAAAATTATGCGCCGGTATCTATTGTATCTACATAATAATATCTACCTATATGTTCGATAAATGGATTACAACTTTTGGCACTCACGTATAATAATGAAAAGTATTTTACTTGTTGACCCATTCTAAAAAGCTATCGACAAATTCAATATTAATATACTCGTTTTTAAAACAATATATCCATGACATTGTATTGTATTGTATAAATAACTACTTGCTATTTCAACCGCCTTCGATTGATAGTAGGTTTTGAATTCGTATTTTCTTTATTATCCTGTAGTTTATAAAATAAATATTTAATGACTATAATAGAATAATAATTAAATATTGCTATAGAAAATAATTTATTTTACTAGTATTGTAGTTATAAGGTGTTTACATGTTTTTAGATTCGACCTACTTAGTGTCTAATTAAGAAGAAAAGTTTCTAGTTGTTTTCCAGTATCTGTAAATTAGTAAAATGTTCGCTTCAATGTTCGTTGTGTAGTTTAATATCCAGTGTATATCTTCATATTAACATTTTTAAAACTATTTTGTATATTAACATTCCAATGACAATTTGATGCGTGAGAGAGAAGGATATGATGCAGATAAAACATTTATCTACTTATCTTATTGGCAGTTAAGTAGTCAAAGATGCCGGCCAACCTTTTAGGATCTTCTTATTATATGGATGTACTGAATATTATAGTTTTAGTCTTATGCGTAGGAGTAATCGTGTAGGATAATGACGTGTTTGACCTCTGGTCGTACATGGGAGAAATGGATATCGTAAGTAATACACATGAAACCCTTGGGTTTACCCTCAAATGAAAAATTTAAAACATCTCTCACAACTAATAGTAATACTTAACTATAAGACTTATAATAGAAAATATTAGATGGTAGTTACGTATAACACCTATTAATAACACTCTAATAAATATAGGCGATTGAGATTTACGACAGTCAAACGAATTATGTAGGTATTGAATTTTGAAGTTTAAGATTAATCAAAGTACGAACAATAAATAGATTTGTGCTCTCTTTGTGTAAATGTACTTACAGCCATGACAAACATAATTGGAATATTTTTATTTTAATTAGTTTAAAACATATGAGTACACTGTTCTTAAACCTTAAGTTGATTTTCTGTACTTAAATTACTTACTTAATAAAATAGTTTATTTCAATAGAATCCGTTTGTAGGATAAAGCAACTATTATTACTATTATATTTTTTCGTAAAGACAGTAAACGGACTTTTTACAGTAGTATTTGTGGTTATTGTTTATTATCGAGTATATCTGTTGTAATTATTGTCAATGGGCGTAACATACTCTGTCAGTGTACCGATTGAGAATCTGTACTCTAAATAGGCGGGACCCGTAAAAATTTGATTTGTAGTATAAATTTATTTTAAATATGTAAATATACAGGACAATTGTATAGTATTTTACTCTATACATTCTGTATTGTTTGCTGATTTTTTTAATAATCACATATTATGGTGGGTTTTCAACTGTTGTCTGTTGTAAGTAATCGAAATATTCTCTTTTTGTTAGTATTAACTTGCGTCCTTCATGTGTCCTATTACATTTTAGGTGATGCGTACAGTGATATTTCATTTCTCATATTCTCGATGAAGGGATCATATTAAAATATCACCAAGTCATAAGGATACAGATTGATCCAACCCTTGTCATCGTAAGCGATTGGCTTCCTATTATTATTGTCTGGAGAAAACAGTTTTTTGATGATATGTCTAAATCATAGGCAGCATTTCTTAGCTTGCTAAAGGAAGTAGAGCCCTCTAGTAGAAACGTTTAAAAAGTAAATTTTGATAGAGTTGATCTCACATTAAATTTATTAAGCACTTGTGATTATGCTTAATCGCAAATCGGTCTTGCCATGTGAATTATTTTTAGTAGTGTAGTGCGTAATTATTGATTAATTTAGAATAAATCCCGCAGTAAAAATCAAGGAGCGAGTGGGCGCTCTCAAAAGAAAAAGAATTTAAAATGGTAATGCTGCCGCTATAATTTATCATATATATAATATTATTATTAGTTATATTATGTACTATATATTATTTATTGACTAAAAAATATCACTATCCAATGATCCTATTATATTAAAGTAGCTAAAACCTATGAATTTGTGTACCGTTTATGATATAAAAGATCGCCTAGGTATATAATATATATATATATATATAATATAATACATAAATAAGGAGATACCCTGTGTCAACGAACTCTGTTGTATGATTGTGACATATTGATTGACCGGGACAATGTATAATCTATATCTTTCTTCATTGCAAATATCCAATAACTTTATAACAATACATTTAATTAACAAGAGGGGAGAGAAACGTATACGTACTTTGTATTTTGTATTAAATTTCAAAACTACAATATTAAATAATAAGGAAGTATGTGTATTCACATTATAGTAAGCAGATTAATTAATGTGGGAATTTAATATGTAACACCTTATAAGTTGCTTACAGAGCTTTTATTAATTAAGGGACTAATAAAATATAGAAATTAGATGACTTCAAATATCAAAATTATCAAGGAAGATAACAACTTCATTAATTTTGCCTCCTGAACATTTGTTTTACAATATTAAAATATATTTGTTACATAAATTGTCTTTAGAAAGTTTACTCAACATTTCACTGTTGTCAGAAGTCCTGTTTTAAAGAAATATTAGAAAATTAATTATTTTTTTCTTGAAACTTAAACTTTATTTAAATATTATATTACGTACAAATTAAAAAATAGCTTTGGTAATTAAATATTTTCTATTTTAATAAGATATATTAATATTTTCTAAGTAATAGGTAGTCGAATTGCCTTTTCCGTGCTGTGTGGTGTTGGATGGAAACGTGAACGTAGCAACAATGGTTAATTTAAAGAATATCAAAATAAACTGTATTTTTAAAATTTCTATTGGTATT